ATTGCAAGATAATCCAGGCATTTTATTTACAAAAAAAGAAAACAACAACTTTCTTTTCATCTTATTCTCTAGCCAAAGGAAATGTGTTCATTCCAGTAACAAAAATGAAAAGCATATTCCATGTCCATCTTTGCCTGGAGGGTATCCTTACTACAAGGACCTTACCATCTCAATTGCTTGATCTACCGAAGCATACAAAACAGAGCATAACTTGGGGTCAGTGGAATCATTCACTAACTTACCTTCTGGATGTAATAAATAATGAACTGGCCTAAATTCATCCAGACTTTTCTTCAAGATACCCCTCAAATGGAAAAGGCTCACATGCTTAAAGGCTACATAACAGAGTTGCTGTTGTCCCCAGTATTCACTCCTCTAACTCATTATTAATTACCAGAGGCCAGAGAAAGCTTAGATCTGAGAGTCTTCACCCACACTTGCATCCTGGATCTCAAATCATCTATACAAACCCCCACCCCAAAAACACCCTTTTTATAACAACATTTTTTCCCAACTGTAGTATTTTGGCAGCCAGGAAAGCATTATCTGTGGATCTTTGAAGGTAGCATATTTTGCAGGCACTTTAGATAAACTCTAATGTGTTACTGCTTTTTTTTTTCCCTTGCTTTCTTTCTTTTTCTTGCCAGGCAGCCTCTTGAAGCACTTGGCAGTGGGGCATGAGTCACAGTGCCATGAGCATTCGTTGCCTATGTTCACAGGTTACTTACCACCCACACTGGCCTTTAGGCCCTTATTAAACTGTCAGCACCTATCTTTATGGGCACTGCCTGGGTTCATCTCTTATATATGAACTAGCTATTTATCGGCACCCAATTTGTTAAAGGAATTGGATAGGGTGGAGGTGGTTTCGTAGTGTGTTCCCACCTTCACTCTTCAATATTAATACTATTTCAGTACTCTGGTGAAGCTAGTTTCAAAAAAAGCTAGTTATTCAAAAGAATAACACATCTGAGCCTGAGGCACTGCTTCTACTTGCCCTTTTGGGAAAACAACCAGCTCTACTGTGTTCCCCAGTAAGGATAAGACAAAATCTGGTACTTGACAGGACTACTGTTAGGCCTATTACCTGGCAAGGGCTCCTGGGGAACTCTTAACTAAGGTCCCTTTACTGAGATGGTCCCATAAAAGAGAAACAGTGTTTTACAAAAAAAAATCCCAAATACTAAACAAAAAAACCCAAAAACAATTTGGACGCAGTTCTCCAGATGTGGCTTCGCTTCCCTCAATTTTCTGGCAACACTCCTACCAATGCAGCCCAGTATGCCGTTAGCCTTCTTGGCAACAAGGGCACACTGTTGGCTCATATTCAGCTTATTGTCCACTGTAACCCCAGGTCTTTTTCTGCAGGGCTGCTGCTTAGCCAGTCAGTCCCTAGCCCGTACCAGTGTACCACAGAGATTGACTGGTCTATAATTCCCCAGATACTCCTTCTTCCCTTTCTTAAAGATGGACACTGTATTTGCCTTTTTCCAATAATCTGGGACTTCTCCCAATCACCATGAATTTTCAGAGATAATGACCAAAGGATCTGCAATCAGATCAGCCAACTCCCTCAGCACTCTTGGATGCATCACATCTGGTCCCATGGACTGGTACATATCCAGCTTTTCTAAATAGTCCCTAATAGCCAGCTTTTAAGGTTCACTAGGTGTTTTTTGAGTACTGCCAAAACCCAAGGTTTTCTTTTTCAAAGACCACAACTGGTCAGAATGTTTTGACACTCTGGATTCCTATTTGAAATCTATGGCTTTATCTTGTGAATGTGTAGGTGTCTGCAAAAAAGGAAAAAATAAAAATAATATTTAAGTTTGGGCAAACTCACCTTTTCTAAAGAAAACATGTTTTATCAAAACATTCTCAACCAGCCAGGTGAAAGACCCTCTCCCTAAGCTGGCACCCAGGGCTGGTACCTCTCTCACCTGTCCCTTGTTATGCTACTGCAGTGCACAACAAAAAGAAAAAGCTACCAGAATTTTCTCAGTAGCTCTCTTACAGGATTTTCTCAGAAATGAACTGAGGGCCCAACTGTGCCAGCTCTTATAATGGTAAGTCAGTCTATGAGCTTATAGTGGGAATTGTGACATAAGCACCAGACTACTGAATAGGTCCTTTTACCAGGGCACCTCCCTGCCTTATGTTAAAAAAATGGTGTGTTACATCATTATTTTCTTTTTTGGGGAATTATTTAACAAATGGATACTCTTATAGTCCTACTGTACCATAACAAGGATTAGCCTGTTTGGGCAAAATAGATCCACCTATTGCTTGTTATAAAATATGTTGCCATCATTGTCATAGTTTCATAGTTTCTAGGGTCGGAAGGGAACTGAGTAGATCATCAAGTCCGACCCCCTGCCCTGAGCAGGAACGAGTACTGGAATCATAATACCCCAGCCAGAAATTTATCAAACCTCCTCTTGAAGACCCCCAAGGTAGGGGAGAGCACCACCTCCCTTGGGAGCCCATTCCAGAGCCTGGCAGCCCTAATCGTAAAGTAATGCCTCCAGATATCTACCCTGAACCTGAATTTTCCTTTCTATGAGACTGAAAACTTAAGAATATTTTTGAAGTTATTAAAAAATAAGTACAATCTTAACTTCTATGTTCATTTGCATTTGATTTGTGCTTTAAGGACCCAATTCAGTAACTGCTCTCTCAGCCAGCTACTGTTTGTATAGAAATGTTCTAAGATGCTCCTTGACATTAATACAATATAAGTTGCTCTTTTACAGCACCTTTCACACAGTGCTCCATGACCCCAGGCACGTTACAATCCAGCTATTTGAAGAAAACAAACCGTACATCTACTTCAATAGCTTTCTCACCTTCATGCAGAATTTTGACTGTCTGGCTTTAATTACATGAAAATGTAAAGGTTTCCAATCTTTGGCTATTAGTGTGGGAAAGCGCATTTTAAAGCAACATTTTAGAGGGGAGGGAAAGCTGCTTTAATCATTCACGCACAGAGACCAAATTCAAAGATAAAACAAATAGTATTTTAAGAGCTAAGCTGCAAATGGAAATCCACCTTTTTATACATGATAAAGATTAACAAAAGTAATACAACACGGAGACAGGTGTCACTGCAGAAATGTTAAGCTTTAAACCCAAAGTTTGGAAATAACATCCTTCTGAAATCTTAAGTGTGGAAATAACATGTTAGGAAGGAAGGAAAAATAATAGGATTTATTTGCAATGTTTTACTGCCAGTGGTGTGGCAGAAACAAAATATCTACATTAAAAATATGCTGTTCTTTGCCAGTCGTGCATCCAGCCTGCAAGCAATTCAGGCCCCACCATTCAGGCAAGCTTGGCACATTTTCCCAGTGGCTCAGCGAGCCCAAAGCTAACATGAGTATCCTTCAGCTTGCATAGTTTTAATTTAAATGCATATCCTATTACAATGGAGCAGCAAGTTTCTAGATCTTCTAGTTCTTGATCTTGCTCCTGAGAAAGACGGAACAAAATGGTCTACAAAGGTCCCATTCATGTTAAACCGGCTTCTGCTGAACTCACAAGTGGCTTGTTAGTGACTGAGTTATGCAGCGGGGAAGCATATAGCTGATCAGCTTAGGTTTCACCAGGATGTGTCATGACCATACTGTAAAAGACTTTACTAGGTACTATAGGACTGTTGGATAATCTAGCCCGCTTTAAATAAAGACAGGCATAGAGTAACAAAAGCAAGTCTGGATGACAATCACAATTTGAATACTGTCAAAACATTTCTATCTATAAAGTAGCCATTTGAAGCTACATTTTTCCTCAAAGCGACTGCATGGAGAGTTGCACATTAACAACTAGCCCCTGTTACTGCTAATGGGATTTGTGCACCCTGCTTTGAAAATGTAGCCCTTTAGGCTGCAATACAGTTAGCATACCAAGCAGCTGATTCCAGCTGCAGGAAGAGTGAATATACAATTAAAGTGCCATGTCTTCTGAATCAATAAGAATTGATTGAAAAATAAACACTTGGGCTTAATCTATTAAGGTCAGGCAAAATTGCTCCTTACTAAGTGGCTCTGAGAAATTTGGCTTGACCTCTCATTTCTATGCAGATGGGTATCTATCTAAAAGGGACTCAACCCTCCAAGTGCAAAAATAGCAAAAAGGTCATCACCTGCTCCAAAGATTTGACTGCGGATATGATTTTCTATGGATAAACAGCATTATTTAAATATATTGCAGTGGTTTGTTAATTTAAGCAAATATCATAGTTATATATAATCCTTGTAATGTATCTCACAGTTAGCATGGTATATTGTGATTGCTCCAACTGTTATCCATTTAGTTCTTCATGCTCTCCTTCCTCATGTTGGCCCAGATAGCTCAGTGCTGAGCCCAGAAGCATTATTTTCCTGTCTGCCAGCCTTTTGACTACCAGAGATGGGTGTGGGAACCCCATCAAGAAATCACTTTCCCTCTAATTTTACTTAAAGCAAAAATATAGTGCTCACAAAAAGGGGGAGGTGGTGTGCACACCTAAAATTTTTTGCTCATTAATCTTACTTTTAGTTTTAACGATAGGATCAACAGCTTCTCTTTGAGGCTGTGAGACGTGATTTGGGTTGTGTGGCAAAGACATCAAATTAAAACACTCAAAAATTAAGTCACGTCAAAGATTAGCCAGAGCTGAATGGTCTAATATGGTTAAAGCATGCCAATCTCTGTAGTCAACAGCATGCAAGAGGGTGATGTTGCTAACATCATATCCAGCTGCCATTGACTCCTCAGTTCAAATAACAAATTTATAGGTGAGTCAGTGGAGGACAGCACTCAGCACAGGTAGGGACAGGACTTTAACTAATGTCTCTGGAGGTATTTTAACCCCTCTGCCACTCCAAAATATACAAAAGTACATCCAAAAAGAACTAACATGCTGTCTTATTTCTTCTTTCCTTAAAGCAATTAAATTTTTATATCAGGCAATATACCCTGAGTAATTGCTTTTTATTTGTTTTTATTTATGTTAAATTTAGGAAAGAGGAGGTGACAGCAAATAAGACAGCATTGGCCCCAGGGACTGCAATGAAACAAAATACCATAAGAAAACAGCAAGGATAGAACCAAGGAAAAAAACCCTCTATAAAATGAAAGATAAATTTAGAGACGGCTGAAGAAGGATCCAATCAAGTTGATCCAACTTTAAACAGAAAGTCACATCCTTTCCTGTAGCAGAATCAACAGGCACCTTGCATTTAGCTGCAGGTATAAATCCTGCTTTGCTGTCTCACCAAGGCAGTTTTTGCTCTCTGGTTTTGTATCTCCTTAAGAAAAGAAAAACTTGTATGCTAAAAAAAAATCTTTATTAAGTTGTTCTTTGTAACATACAAAACAAATTAATATGAGTGAGAAATAAAAGTATTTGGGTTTGTGTTACCCTAAAAAAAAAAAAATCACATGTACCTTAAACTATTTAATTCATTCTTTTATCCAAATTGTTACAGTAGATCATGGGTGTCAAAGATATGGCCCATAGAGCAGAATGTCATTTGGCCTCCAATACTGCCTGTGTGTCTCCAAGTGAACCACAGGCAACATGCAGAGTGCTCTGGATGGCCCCACACAATGCTTGTGAAACAGTGGAGTGGCTGCTACATATAGTACAGCCCAGCAGTAGCCAGAACAGGGCCAGAATGAGAGCCCACAAACTAGCTCCACATCACTCATTTAGTCTATTGGGCTGGATGAGTTTAACACCCCTGCAATAGACTATTGTCAGCATCCGTTTTGATGACCTCTCTTTTAATCACTGTTAAGTAATCACTGACACAGCGCACATCTCAAATCAGATATGCTAATGGAAACAAAATCTATATCTTGACAGGGCAGAGTGAGCCTGATAGACACTTGAGTATTGATACATCTCAGCCGTATCATCATTGGTTCTAAGTGGCACTCCCACAAGCTGTTCAGCTTCTCACAAAAAGCCAAGCCATACTGAAAAAGATGCCAGATATTTTGCTGTCTTTTAAAGCATCAAAGAAAGCATTTGCAACTTGGTCCTCAGAACCAAAAGTCCTTCCCATCAATGCAAGAGGAGACCAAACCTATGAGTATTTCTGAGCACAAAAGTAGTGGGATCACTATAAGCCATGATCATTCAAAATAAATTCCTCTGCATCTTATGTCCTTAGGGGCATCTCCTGAGCTATTAAAAGGGTAAATGTTGAAACAAAGCCAAACAGGAGCTGCAGCAGTCCTGCAGGATGACTTCCTGTATTTCTAATTTTGTCTTTTCAAGTCATGTGGCATGAGGCTAAGCACATGCTTAATTACTTTGCTGAACTAGAGTTCTAGAGCTAATTAATCCAAAAATATACTGTGCCTCCTGGCCTTTTTCTGGCTAATAGTTGGAGGTTGGGCCTAGCAGGCTAAATTAAAATATTCCTCCATTTGTATAAATCTACAAAAGAAAATCTGAAGTTTAGATGCAGAATTGTACTGCTTGAACATAACACTTGAGTAACACAGCCTTATTTATACCATATAGCCTGAAGGACGTTTAACGTTTGTTTTTCTTTTTCCCTTTTTTTTTCTTTTTTAGAGCAAAATAGAACACCCTTCCACTCAATCCACTCCCCCAATTTAGATTTAAAACAAAATGACTGTGAGCTTGAAATCCTCAACTGATATTTATTCTCCGACTATGGCAACCCTAATTATTAGCCCTTTTCTGTTGGAAGCAGATTGGAGACTCCAAATCAAATAGAAAAAAATGTTCTTGTGCTTTAATTCTTCAAATGTGCATTATTTAGCTGATAGGCCATAATGGCTCCTTCAGCTCCTTTACTTCATAAACGTACACGTACAAAGGGACTTTTAAAAACCACAATAAATGGGTATTAACAAGAGTTAGGCTGCATTATGGACCTATATTATTGAATGAACGGTTACAAAAATAATAATGAAAAGTGGTAAATATGTATGAGCAACAGCTGCTTATCAAATCTCAATAAGTGGTTTCCATGTATTTGTGTTAATCACAGAGAGATTTAGTTCACATTATGACCTAACAATCCGCAACGTTTTCCATTTAAAACCAAGCTATTTTTTTAAGTTGTCAAGTAGCAAAAAAGCATTTTAAACCTGCAAACTCGAATCAATCAAACTTCATTTTTATAGTGTCAAGCTGGAAAATCCATTGAGTGCTCTGCAGTTATGCAGGTTAAAAATCTACACCCAATGCATAATAGACAAATTACATGAAAACAGATCTCACTAATGCAGTTTATAAAAGGTGCAGAACATTGAGCCAAAAACCCCCCACGTCTCTTTTTGTTTACACTTGCATAATTGAAAAGTGACCTCACATCAGAGAGAAAGAGATCACTCCACAGACTTGAACTCCTACTGTAAAAAGCCCAAGCTTTGGTATATTTTCTTTCCAACATTAGAATTGTTGATCTTACCTCCATCCATGTCAAGATGCAGGGAAGGGATGAGCAGCAACAGGTACCAGCAAAGCCCACTAGATCAATTGTTTGCTAATTCTTAAATTTCTCAAAGACAAAATCCCTGTGGTCTTGATTCAAGCAAAACTCCCTCTGAAGTCAGCTTGAGTTTTGCGGGTCAAAAGCAATCTCTGTACCAAGGACAGGAATAGAGCAGCGTATGACACTTTTCTTGTGCCGGTATTAGGATAGCTTGACTCCTGGTACAATGACTGCTATGAGTAAGGTTACTGAATTGTCAGCTACATCAGGTACAAACAGAAGCACCAAAACCAGTTTTTGTGCCTTGGGCAGCAGCAGCCACTGATGCCACTACTGCCAGTCTTGCACCCCCCTATATCAGCACCGAGGGCCAATGCCCTGCTTGCCCACACAATGCAGCACCAGCCATATTTCCTTTCACCCCCAGTCTACTGGTGCTCCAGAATGTCCCCTACACTCTCTCTCCAATCTCTCAGTCCTGATCCTCAAGGGAAACTTACACAACACTTCCCAGAGATGAGCCTATGAGCTCCATTTCATCAACCTCCTGGATACTAGAGATCATGGACTAAACATAGACATTGGATTTTTGATACATTACAATCTGCCTGGCAACTGACTCCCCAGCCCAGCCCAGCCCCTGGCTTCTTTACTTTTCATTCCATCCAGGAAGAGTACACACCAACTGTTGCAGCTTCCTGAGCCTGACGAAGGGTTTTTGAACCCAAAAGCTTGCTTAATAACTATTCTCCAACCATTTGGGTTGGTCTAATAAAACATATCAAATTCACCCAAGGAACCTTGTCTGCCTATGTCCTTAGACCAACACGGCTACAACCTAAACCTCTACAACAGTGGCATTCAGAAGAGATGGTAATGTAATGGCATCCATTCATCAGCGGGTGACGGTAGATATTCAGCTATTCTACTGACTGGTGGTGCTGTAGAGACCGATATCAACTTCCAGGTCCTGCCACAGTGGTCATAGTTGTACATAGTATTAGGAGCTACTGTACTGACTGGCTGTTTCCTTCACTCACGTTTCTGTTGTAATTTGAGTAACCATTTCTCGTTGTGATGTTGGACTCCATGACTGAGAAGGGAGCACCACTTTGTCTTTTCTCCTACTAAGGCCCCCCAAGGTTTGGGTCAATTCCAAAAGCCTTCATGTACTGTTTGCAGACGTGTTTAAAGTGCAGTTTTGGGCACCCTACTGTTCTCTCCCCACCAGCAATTTGCTTATACAGGATGTTTTTCAGGATGCATCCACCCTTCCATCCTGTGGAGATGGTCAAGCCAGTGTAGGCACTTCTGTTTGAACAGTGCAGTGATGGCAAGTTGATTTTGATGATGACTTCTGTGTTGGTAATTCTGTCTTGCCACTTGATGTCAAGAACATGTCATAAGCAGTGTAGGTGGAAGCTGTTCAGCTTCTTTTCTTCATATGCATTTGTTGACCATGTCTCACTGCTATGCATAAGGACACTGAGGTGCAGGTTTTGTACACAAGCAGCTTAGTTTTGATTGCAAGTTTTGTATTACTTCAGACTCAGGATTACCAAAAGTGGTAGCAGCCTTACCACTGCACACATTTAGCTCTTCATCCAGTGATAGGCCATCGCTCACTGTGGATCCACAGTAGCAGAACTTGTTCACTGCCTTGAGAGATGTGTTGTCAAGGCTGATAGATGGTGACTGGCAAACACCCTGTCCTTGGACCACAGTCTTCTTAATGCTGATGGTCAGGGCAAACATCCTGCAAGCATGAGAGAGGCAATTTGTGAGTATTTGTAGTTATCCTTCTTCATGGGCAGTGAGTGCAGCATAGTCAGTAAAAAGGAGCTTCCTAATGATTATGTTCCTCACTTTGGTCTTGGCCTTTAGACATGATAGATTGTAGAGTTTGCCATTTGATCTTGTATGAAGGAGCCTTCCTCCATTTGTGCTTCAGAATGCCCCCCTCCCCACCATTACAGTTTCAAGGTAATTTGCAACATCTCAGATCCTCACAGGAGGTGAGAGGCTCCACACCAGCTATGAACCGACTGCCCAGAGGAGTTTTCCATCTATTGACTCCTCTGTGAAATCCTATGAAATATGAACTTTCATTTCTACCCAGGAGAACTTTTCCAATCTTTTCTCTGATGCCTGATGAAGGCTGTTTGTGCCTGAAAGCTTGCCATTAAAGAAATTTTTTTGCAAAAATCTTGTTGGTCTAATAAAAGACATGATCTCTACTACGAGTCCTGATTCCCTTTTTCTCTAGACGAGTACAGCTACAACCTGGATACCTGACCCCTATAAGAGTGGCAATCTGAAGAGATGGTACAGTGCTGCAAATAAACCTTGCTGGATGTCTTGCTACGGCAAGGGTATTGATTGGAACAGTGGTTCTCAATCTTTTCAGAGTAGGCACCCCTCATCAGAGCAGAGGCATCCCTCAATAACTTTTGTTAGCTGAGTGGAACCCCATTTCAAAAATGTATATATTAAAATGCTTGCCTCCTTGCAGAGGGGCCAAACAGGGAGAGCCTGAACCTGCCCTGACCTACTTATCTCATTTCCCGCAGCATCCTTCAAAGGTAGTCATGGCATTCTAGGGTGCCCTGGCACTCTCGTGAGAATCACTGGGTTAGAGCCTAGCTGGTAGAACAATTAATGGGGAACTTAGCCCTGTATGAGTGGGAAGTGGGTAAGGACTAACATTGGCTTCTAGCTCAAAAACAATAAAATATGATGTACTTTTCAGAAGTTTAACATGAAGGAATCAACTAATCTGTACGCAGCTATCGCTTGAGAGGTAACAAAGAAGACAAAGCAGCAGTGAACAGCTTTTACCAGGTAGGAAAAAAGAAGAC